TGTATTTTAAAAACATCTATCAGCACTGCATACTTTCGGATCGACGATTCGAAAAAGTAACCAAGTCCAAAAGTATATGTACTGCGCATGACTGGACTACACAGGCAAAGTGTTACTTATTTACATCTACTAGGCAAAAGAATAGGCTAGGCCTACGTGTTTGCAAAACTGGATAACCTGAAAAAAAAAAAAAAAGAATTAAGTGTATGGCTCGCATGGCTCGCTGACTCGCATGACTCGCACATTGGCTCGCATGACTCGCTGGCTCGCACTTTGGCACTACTCGTCCGGATGAATTAGTCGGAGCCTGTGAAGGAAGACCATGTTCTCATGGGTAGGAGTAAGTTCCTCTTCCTCTGCAATAAGTTGCCCGTGGTGTGTGATGTTTGACTCTGGTGTCAAGAGAGAGTCTTCTATAAAGGCGCATAGTCGCTGATAAATATCTTCATAACGTTCATCAACTCCTAATGTCATTCAGGTCTAAGAAATGGCTTCCACTGTTTTGGAAGCCGTAGTGAAGTCTGATTAATTGCCATACTGTAGCTAATGAAGTGGAGCCTTTAACTATGGAGCTCCGCGCAATTATGGGGCAATAATTGGCAATTTGGCTTAGCAAAAAATCAACGATGTTGTTTTTCTGTAGAGCAGTTTCGCGAACAGCTGCAGGAACGTCATCGGCGCCGTCTACGAACCCTCGGAGCGGCTGAGCTCTGGACTTTTTCAACCACCTACGCCGATGAACGTGGTGTCTAAAGATAGAGTGTACATAATGTTATTTTTTTACGCTTCGAAACTAGTTATCGTTTCAGTTCGTGTTAAACTCCACTGTTTGGGAGCACGGTTGTTGCTGTTTGCCATTGTGAGATCGGTCACCACATGCTCGTCGTGTAAACAGCACTGGGTACTCGTCCGAAGTAGACGGTAGGTATTCTTCTATTTTCAGGTCTTTTACGAACCTTGGTATGTCGTGGGGATTCGAAACTGCTGCCACCACGCCAGTTATGGTAATTGTAAACATTAAAAGAGAGAAAAACACACCCGATTATCCACAACACTTTATGGTTTATTGCTGAAAAACACAACGAACAATGCTCGGTTACCATTAACAAGAACACGCCGCAACAACAACAGCGCAAGAGCATGCTGGGATATGCAAACAGGCCAATACTCTCCTTCTTTCTAACTAATCCGTTGATTCCGTGGATATGTGATAGCTGCGCAGGGGCCGTGGTAATGGCCAAACAGGAAGTTAAAAAATTAGCCATTTGCAGTTTTTGCTCCACAATGCTAGGAGTATTTGCTCGAGAGATAATCTAACAGATTTCCAATATTTTCCTTCTGGCCAGTATGGCGTGGTTGGGATCACTGAGACATGGCTGAGTAGCAACATAACCAACAATGAACTTTCATCGTTTTTTAATATCTTCCGTAAAAATCGAGAACACAAAAAGGGAGAAGGCGTGCTTATTGCAGTGCACCCCGACTTTCGTGTGTTGAAAGGACCGACTTAACTCATCCTGATCTTGAATTTGTCGCTATCGAAATTAACCACAAGGTCTATTATAGTACTATTATTGCCTGCTGTTACAGACCACCTAGTTCATCAGTAGAATTTTTTGCTAAAACTAAATGAAGTTTTTCCACCAGGTGGTGAATGCTCTACTAAGTCAATTATTCTTATGGGTGACCTCAACATCAAAGATTTTCTGTGGTCCACAAATATTGCAACTAAGCAAAACCCTCATGCAGATCGACTCTCTAATTTCGTTAATGATCATTTTATGACACAATACGTCCTAGTACCGACCAGACCTTCCACAAACAGTGAAGGTTCAGTCCTTGATACATGATGTTGACACCATCGATGAGACTTTTTTCAATTCTGATCACTTACTAGTTGAATTTAAGTTTAGCTTTCCCAAAATTAATAATTTAAATCCTAAACATAAATATGTGTATAATTTAAAAAACAAAACAAATGTTAAAGGTTTAAGCGACGCTCTTTCACCTTACAATTGGCAGGATACCCTCTCTGAATCTTGTGTTGATGACTGTTAGCAGAACTGGAAGATTGTTTTCCTAAATATTGTTGATAATAACATTCCTAAGATTAAAATCAAAAACCCTCTATCAACCCCATGGGTGGATGGTGAATTCCTGAGTTGTATTCGCAAACGAGATTGAATGAAGAAAGAAAATTAAAGACGAAGCTCTACTGCGATGATAGATATGGTGATAGGGGATCACCCTGTCTAACACCTCGCTTTACTTCAAAAAAAGGTGATACATTATTATTGGTTACACAAGAGCTTATGTCACAATAGAAAGTTTTTACCCCAGCTTATTAATGATTCTCCAAAATTAAAGCTTTTTAAACTTTTAAACATAAGTGACCAGTCTAGACTGTCGAAGGCTTTTTCAAAATCGATTAGTAAAAGAAGACCTTTAATACTTTGTTGCTCACAGTGAAACAGCAAATCATATATTAAACGGGTGTTTTCCCCAATTTCACGATTTGTGTATTACTAATAATATTTGGTAAAACAATTTTCATTCGTTCTGCTATACACGTCTACATTTAGAAGTGAGATGGGACGCCATTTTTTGAAATCAAGACGCGATTGTCCAGGCTGTGGAATACAAGTTATCATTGCCCTTCTTTGTTAGACAGACATTTTGCCATATTTATTACAGTAATAAAGGAATTGATCATGTAGTTACTAATTTTTGTCGAAAAAAATTTATAAAATTCAACCTCAAAACCTATTCCAGGACTTTTGTTATTAGACATTTCTTTTAACTTTTTCAGACACTCGCAGGCTCTAATATTACCTTCACATAGTTGTTTTTGTTCTTTACTAAGTTTAGGTTGGTCAGCAGGGTTAACAAAAGTATCTGTAATTTGTTCAACTTCTTTCTTTGAGTAAAGATATGAGTAAAAAGTTTGAAGTTCTTTTAAAATTGTATTTTGGTCTATTATTTCATTATCATTTATTAAACTCTTAGAAATGGTTTTATTTTCGAAATTTCGTTTTTCTAAATTAAAAAAGTACCTTGTGCTTTTTTTCGCCCTTTTCATACCACCTCGATTTATATCGAGTAATAATATCTTTTATTTTATTTTCCATCAATTGTTCAAGAGAATATTGCAGGGAAGAAAGTTTCGTTAAATCTTCATCTGAATGGGAAGCACTTAAACATATTTAATTTTTTTTTTAATTTCGTTTTTTATTCTTTTTTCTTCCTTTTCATATCCTATCTTATGTTTGGCTGAATATGGTATTGTCATACCCATTATATTGAGTTCAATCATTTACCACAACAAGGCATCATTATGTATATTTTTATTTTCAGTTACCGTGTATTGTAAGACATCTTTCAAATTTTGACTTACTCTGGATCTTCTAATAACGAATTGTTAAACTTCCAGAAGCCTTCCCCCTTAGGCAATCATTTCATTTTAGAGATTTGGCAATTAGAATATCCACATTCTATAGTTGAGGAAAACCACAGCTTTATTAAAACATAAATTATACAGATAACGAAACATAAAAATAACATATAACTCATCTAAGGTAGTAAGAGAGATTATGTCAGAGGACACCAAAAAATAATCTAATCGGGCTTGTTTTAAGGGAGTTTTTTTGTCTCCAAGGAAATCTGACAGAATCTATATGACTTGCCCTCTAAATGTCATGTAGATCTAAATCTTGCATAATATCAGTAATCATTTAAATAGTTTCTAACCACGTTCCAATCACCACAAATAATAATTGAAGAATTGTTTATCATTTTAATTGTTTGGTGAATTTTCTCATAAAAACAAGGATCATCTTTGTTGGGTCCATATAAGTTAATTAAAGTGAAGCAAAGGTCTTCTGTTTGTAAATTTAAAGTTATATAATTTCCGTTTTTGTCTGTATATGTATTTTTAATTTCAAATTTCAAATTATTACACCTCTGCTGTTACTTTTATAGGAATTAAATATACACTCATAGCCCAATTCAGAGCCCAATTCAGATTTCTGATGTTTTTCAATTTCTTTCTTTCAATTATTGAATGCTTTTTATTTTTTAACCAATTAAAGAGATCTCTTCTTTTATGTACATTCCCCAAACCTCTAACAATAGAGAACATATACTTAAGTTAGTCATTTTTTACATAAGGTGTGCCCAATAGTAATATTTATTCACGTTTATCATTCACCACATCTTGATTAAAACATAAATTATACAGATAACGAAACATAAAAATAACATATAACTCATCTAAGGTAGTAAGAGAGACTATCCCATCACAAGGATGTTGATAATCATAGCTCAATATTCCCATAAACAGAACTATTTACAAAAAGTTACATAATCATTTTACTTTTTAGGTCCCAAGTAGGATTTCGACAACCAGTATTTCACCTAGATGTGATAACATGTTTTTGAATGCCCTTCATAAATACACAATGACTGGTACTATATAAAGTTACTATAAAAACTCAAATAAATTTCAGTTCAATAATTATACGTTATAATTAAGTTTATACGATGCTTAGTCATGATGTCAGTTTAATCAAACATAGGAACATCTCACTGTGTTAAAATGTTGAATAATACAGAAATATACTTTTTGATGAACCAAACTTAATTTGATTGATTAGCAACAGGCCAATTCTATAGTAAATTTCTAGTTAAAACTGTGACCCTGTCAAGCATTGGTCACTGGTTACGTTTTCTTCAAAGCACCTACAATTGCAAACAAATATTGATGTTAAACTTAAAATCAGTGTTCATAACTGAAATTAGATAGTTTCGTCAGAAAACCAGTTACTATATTAAATTATAATAGACGTATTTTTACAGATCTTTTTGATGCTCTTTATAAACACAGTACTGTAGTCATTTATTTGCAGTTAATAAAGATGAAGTACAGTACTGTTAAGTTACTATATAAACACAATTCAATTTTAAGTTCAACAATTATTTATTATGCTGTGGCATATCATATTACTGTAAACTGCAACTAAGCCTAAAGGTTTGTCTATAAAAGTTTAAAGTATTGTATTCCTGAGATATATCTTTGCGGTCTGATTTTAAACACATATTGATTTTACTATACTCATAACTAATGGACTGTTTCACTGTGATATTTTGAGCTGCACTCTAGTAATAACAAGTGTTATTTGAACTTTAATCACAAAACTGTGAAAATGTTTTTTTTTCTTTAAGTTGGATAATTAAGTACCGCAGTCTAGTTATTTTTAGGGCTAGTATGTATATTGTATTTGATACATTACAAGGCATTGGCCTAGGCCTATTTTATTAATGTCGGAATGATATATTTAATTTATTATTATTGTCATTGTCATTGTTATTGTTATTATATAATATACTTTACTGACCTTTTTCTATTTTTATACTTCAATTTGTTTCAAATTTTCATCAATGTGCATACCTATGATAGTGCCAGGTCTAGAAATAGACCTACTGCTGCTTAGGACTCTAGCTAGGGGGCATTGTCTAGTCTAAGGAGTGGCCTAGAGTATGACTTAACACAGCCTTAGGATTAGACCTTCTTTAGTCTCGTTTTCTAGGCATATTGGTACTAAACCTTAGAGAAGGCGGTGCTGTTGCAGCTTTTAATACTAACATTTAACTAAATTCACCTTGCTTTGGTTCAGCTTACGGTCGTTGACCTCTCTGACCTGAAATCGTTTTGGGATTTTATATGGTCCATCTAGATATGTAACGTAGACACTTATGCTGTTTATGAATATTTTATCTCTTGAAATATTGAGGTGTCAAGGGAGATTGTGGTATAGCAAGAATGATTTTTACTCGTCTTTTTTACTTTAGTATCCTGATATTTGTTTACAATGAACTCAATGAAAATGGACACAACATCGAAAATGATAAGTATGCTGATGTTTGTGTGATTGAAAAATCTTTTCTTTCATCACAAACTTGTGTTTTTGTTAACTGTTATTGTAGGCTACTTGCTGATTATGCTCGAGAACGATGTATGCACATACCACCGCCCGTTTTATTAAATACGGCATGCCGCCGTATTATTTATCGAGGCCTTGTAATTTATACCAGAAAGTTATTTTTTTTTTTTTTTAACCTAACTTTTTGAAAATTTTCTATTTTTGTATTTTAACGTAACCGTACTGTGTGGAGAGCCCCTTGACAGCAGACATCTGTTTTTGCTTTTGGGCAATCCAACCAGGCAGTCACGGTTGTGCTTCTTGTTTGTAATGTTTTTGTGTATACTGGAAAAATAAATGATATGATATGATATGATATGATAATACATAAGACAGGCTTAGAGTTACAGATTACATCCCATAAATCGGTAAGGTTTCATAGGCCTACCGTAGGTGAACATAGAAGAAGAAACAACAACAACAACAACAACAGAAATACTCAGCCGTCGCGGTGTTCAGAAGTGCCTACTCTTGTTCCTAATAATTATATATTAATTCGAGCCGAGTCAATCCGAAACGATCTGAGAAGAGTTTCATGCATAAGTTTGTAACGTTGTCAATATTTGTCTAGTAATATTTGAGTTATGCGCTTGGAAAGGCACACACACACATACACAGACGCGCGCTATTGCAATACCCTCCACCTTCGGAAGGACGACGGTAATAACAACACTAATGCAACTACAAGTAATAACATTACAGTAACAATTATTTATGTATAGTTTGTTATCCAATTTAATTTCAAAATAAAACAGCAGTGATTACCTTTCCACGTTCCACAAGTTTTGTTACCATAACAACATTAGTTATATTTAATTCCCACACCATCCTCCACATGTCGGCAATAGTCCCGGGTAGCGGGCCCTGACACGAGATAAATTCTCTTGGTGACTTGAAACCCTGGAATAGATGAGAAATATTGTATTCTTCAAAAAGCTATGACATAAAAGTCTAAAATTTTAATATCTACATTTGGAATTTGGTTTTTTGAAATTATTTTGAGGGTGTCGTTATAGATACAATCGTTCTTCTTGGATTGCTGCTTCAGTCAGTTTGTTCGTTTGTTGTTTGTTGATTTGTTCGTTGGTTTATATTAACCTTCAAATTATTATAGGAAAAGTCATACATTAATTGTTTAGATAAATCCATTATCAAGAAAAGTGATGCTCAGTTTCCATAGAATCGCTCACCCTAAGGGCGACAGTCACCGAAAATTGCCGGTAATGTTGAACCTAGGTCAACTTTGCCGATTGCGCTGCAGACAAATCGGGATGCCTTCCAAATTGTATTAGGGCAGTTAGCAATGCAACGCAATCGACAAAGTTGAACCAGTTTCAACCTTCCCGACAACTGTCGGCAACTGTCGCCGACAGTCGCCGATAGGGTGAGCAATTTCAATGGAAACCGAGCTTAAGACAGCAGTTTTCAGGATCGGAAGCTATCGAACGGGAACGACTATTCTCATACCTGGGTGCAAAACCAAACCCTGAAGGACGAGGTGAGCTCCCGGCAGAATCATTGAACAACCTAGAACGCTTGAAGCGAAAATTTAGAGAGTTGTATAATCCTCGCAAAAACGTTATTCTGGAAAGATACAGATTTAATTCAAGAATACAACAATAGGGAGAGCCATTTCAGACATTCGTTTCTGATCTGAGAAACAAAATAAAACTTTGTATCAAAATTTAGAAGAACAATTACTAAAAGACAGGATAGTAACAGGCATCAGGAAAGAAAATGTCTGCAAAATATTTTTAAGAGGAAGTGAATTAACACTGGTCAAGGCAATACAGATTTGAACGAGACTTGTGATTAAAGTGAGATTTCTGAAATTTGATCCCTCATCATATGTGTTCTTTTATAAAATATTATATTGGTTCAACATATTGGTTTACAATTATCTTTCATCGAACTTCTACAAAGGGACTGAGAAGAAAACAAAAAAAAATGCTGACTTTGTTTGGAGTGCTTTAGGTACCAATTAAACGATAGGTAGGGATAGACCTAAGCTCAGCCAGGCACCTTCTACATCGAAATTCAAGAATATTTAAGAATTGATTTGTAATACATATAAACAGAAAATTTGATTAATCGGCAAGATTTAAAAGTTAGAAAAGAACTTTACACAAAGACCACAAAACAGGTTCAACGCCAAAAAAAAACTAGAGATACTATGTTCAATTGAACATGAACCCAGTAATTTTTAAGAGATAACCACTGTAACCTTTAACCTCAACCTGTGAACACCCCATGTTTGGTAGGAGTCTGTCTAATGCAATTGGTCCAATTGTGGTCTAGCAATATTTGAAACTTTCACTATAGTGACCCTTGTGATTTTTGACCTATAGGTGAAGAGTAGTTTTTCATATTTAGAAGGTCCTACGGATCATTCCTGGTAAATTCAAGCTCAGTTGGGCTATTTTAAAAAATTGACCCCGATGACCCCTATGTAACCACTGATGCCTGACAGGGGTGTGAAGGTGTCACTGGTTCTTAATGATCAAATTTGATTGAATTCGGTTCAATCGTTTGCTATTAGTAACATTTTGAACCTTTGACCTATGAACTTTGACATATGGGATGAAGAGTATTTTTTCATGTTTAGAAGGTCCTAAGGATCATTCCTGGTAAGTTTGAGCTCAATTGGGCTATTTTGAAAATTAACCCCGATGACCCCTATGTGACCCCTGATCCTAGAATGGGGTGTAGGAGGTGTCACCGTTTCTTAATGACAAAATTTGATTGAATTTGGTCCAATGGTTTGCCATTATTAGCTTTTTGAAATGTTACTAGAGTGAGCAAAAAAATAACCCTTTAATGACCTTTGACCGTAAATCGCTGAACAACATAAGACCCTACATTATGCCAATACATATGTGCCCAGGACAAGACTGTGCTATAATATTTGTGACAGAAGTCTTTTATTCATTTTTAAAAAAGTTTTTTTACCCTAATGACCCTTATGTGACCTTTGACCCCAAGCAGTGAACACCCCATGTATGAAAGGTGTCACCGCTTATACTGACCAGGTTTGGTTGAAATCAGCACAACCGTTTTGCACTAGTAGCGTTTTGAAATGTTGCCAGAAAACCTGCCTTATGCCAATGTATATGTGCAAAGGACAAGACTGTGCTACGTTATTTGTGAGACAAGTAGTCTTTTATACGATTTTTGGTTTTTTGACCCTAATGTCCCTTATGTGACCTTTGTGTGAACACATAAATGGGATGTGGCACCGGTCCTACTGACCAAGTTTTAATTACATCGGTCCAGTAGTTTGCCACTAGTAGCCTTTTAAAATGTTGCCAGAAAGAAAGAAGAAACTGCTCTGAAACAGAACCCAGTCAGCATGCTGCTGACTGGGTAAATACAGTCTTAAAAATATATATCAAAATACTACAGTGAGAATAAATACTTGGAGAAACTTTAAAATAGAGGATGATTTTTAAGATCTGTTACCGTAAAACTGTAAAAACGGCCACATATTTTTCATATATTGATTATATTGCTGTAAAGTCAGTAAAGTATTAATGATGCGTTGGGCAACTTTCCTAGACCTTTCGAGTTTCTTTTCTTTCATTTACAGTTATCTTACCATAGTAGCAAAAAATATGAAGTAATACTTAAAATAATACTTTGATAAATAAAAATAATATCTTATTGATTTTTGAGAACAAACTTTGACTGCTAGTTACTGGTATATAGTTCCATTTAAGCTAATCGTTTAAAATAATTCCTAAATAATTATTGTGACACAGTATCAACTGTTTCATACTTAATAACAAGCGGTTCATTGTATATATATATATACACTAGATTAACCACATTAGGCTATCGTCCTGCATTTTAAGTCAGTATTGCGCACCACAGACACAAGCTTCAGCGAGCTCCCACCATCACAACAGTTGCATTCTTCTTTGCTTCACTTTTTCAGAGACGAGAGGGATGTTTTGATACAGTTGCTCGTTTGTTAGATGAGCCCTCCAAGAAACATTTACTGCCATGCATATCATCCTAGTATATGCTCCATTTAGTTGTTTAGTTAGTTTCTTAGTCAGGGTCCATACAGCTGATCCATAGAACAGTATTGACTCCACAGTGGCAAGGAAAAGGCGTACTTTGATTTTCTGTGACAATTTGGAGGTCCATATTGATCTTCATTTAAGGCAAGCACTCCAAGCTAGTGCTTTGCTCACTGACATATCCTTTTCTGTATTTCCAATCCATGCCCCAAGATGTTTAAAATTTTCAACTTTTTTTTTTTGGCCTTGATTTTTTTTTTATAGGTAGCAGTTAATTGAAGCTCATGATTTCATTTTTCTTTGTGTTTAGGTGAAGCCAAATTTTGTTTGCTTCAGATCCCACCCTTAGGAGAAGTTCTTGAGCAAGGTCAATTTGCAGAAATTCAGATCAGTGATGACACAGGGTGCTACCTTTCTGCTTCGAAGATCTTTGCAGGTGAAAACCCAGTTCATCTCCAAGTATTTATATTATCGGATTACCATGTAGCCTCTTAACTTTAGGACAGAATACCATGCATGCTGACATTCTGGCATTGTAAATTATGTCATGTTTATCTGCTTAACTTTGACAAATATCAACAAAGTTTTGTAGACCAGATACAGAAGGAAAAATGGAGAACCATATCATCTGCATAACTCAGATTATTAAGTCTAATGTAGTTTTAGACCAATCATTGCTTCATTTAGTATTGAATGAAATAGAGGCGATAAAACTCGACGTACAACATTGGAGACACTAAAGTCTCTAGATATTTCACTCCAAGGGATGAAGGATCTCCGTCTAATGTACCAAAAAACGAACAACAGTTAAAGAAACATTTCTATCAGTGAGTTTTCTATATAAGGTCCACTCTATCAAAACCTTACTGGTACAGTATAAAAAAAACAACAGTACACAGGGCTGACATTGCGGTTGAGATACATGTATCAGTGTTTTTTCTTAAAAGCAAACTCATAGTCCGTAGACTAATTTTATACCATATAAAGTAATAAGACACCTTTGCAATAGCAATTGGTCGATAATTACTCATACTAGTAATATCACCAGCCTTACTTTCAACAATAGGCACAAGAGTCATCTACAGCAAAACCATGAACAAGCATTGCATTAAAACAGAGACTAAGAAGTATACATAACTTATAACTTGCATATTTTTTTTATTGATCTATTGATATATTTTGCATTCAATGTCACAAATTATAATAAAATTAAAAGAAAATACATAGAAATAAAAAGAGAGAAATAATTAATTGAATGTCTGGATGTGTTTTCTTTGTACACCAGACTTATTTCGTATGGGGCCCATAAGCCAGGAAAATTATTGCACAGAAGTGAATATTTACAGATAGTGATCTGGCAATGTTCAGAAATTATAGTGAAATATGAATAATACGTTAGGTATAAAAATATATAAAATTAAAAAATGCAAAAATGGTAAAATTGAAATTAAAGAACCTCGAGTAATAAAATATACAAGAAATATGAAAACAATAAAAAGATAAAAACATTTAAAATCATTAAGCAAATATTCATTTAGTTTTCTCTTAAATATCCCGTGATCAGCAATTTCTTTAAGATAATTATGTAGAGCATTCCTGTCTCGGATACCAGTAGCAAAAAATGAGGTGTGATTAGTTTTCGGAACAACGTTATATTTGCTGTTTCTGGTGTTATATTAGGTTGGGTTGAGATTGGGGTAAAATGTGGCTATATATAATGTGGCCATTTGTTGTAGCAGATTTTATGAATATGATTGAGTTTCAGAAATTTGACACGGATTTAATATTCCGGTATCCCAGACTGGAAAGCTCTTGTTGACCAATATGAGACCTTAGGCCAAAATTTAAAACAAATCTGGCAACTTTGTTTTGTCTCAA